GGGTGAGGGGGGGGGGGGGGAGATTGCTGGGGACGGAGGGGAATAGCCGGTCGAGTGCGTCGTGACAGGAGGAGGCTCCAAGAAATTGGACCATCCATACGGACGCGCAGCGCAGGAAGCGGCGGTCTAGGGGGCACACATAACGGCACACTGGAGGAGGGGAAGGGGGCGGCGCGCGGGGATGGCGGAGCACCCGATGGGCGGAGGGGGCTGCGTGTGTGTGTGTGTGCGCACGCGCATGCAGGTGCAAGTGCATCCTGATGCGCACATACATACGCACACACACACACACACACATACACACACGCCCGCGCGCGCACACGTAGCGAGGGCAAGTGCCCGACGCCACTGCCGCAAGGGAAGAGGAAGGGGGAGGGGGGGCGCGCGCGCGCGCGCAGAAGGATAACAGAGGCCTGGGCGCAGGGAGATGCGGGCAGGTGTGCCCTGTTCCAGCCGCGGGCGAATAGCCCGGCAGTAGTCTCAGCGGCCGGGGTTCGCCCATGACTCAGATCTCGGCGGGCGGGCGGACGCGCGCGCGGCGCCGGTGTGCCAGCGCGTGAGGGAGGAAGAGAGGGAGAGAGACCAGGGGGCGGGCCAAAGGAACGCCGGCCATGGACAGGGGCCAAAGGCGGGGGGGGGGGAGGGGGAGAAACAGACAGACACACTCGCGCACGGTGCGGGCCTCTGGCGAAAGGGGCCCGCGCGTCGGCCGGCCGGCCAGCTGGATCGACCTGCTCCGCCCCCCCCCCCTCCCGGGGCGCGGGGCGCGGGGCGGGGGCCGTGGAGCGGGCAGCCGGGGGCCGCGGCCACGCCGACGCACGGCGGCCTGGGCTCCGGCGAGCGGGGGGGGGCCGGCACACGGGGGTGCACGGGGGGGAATGTCCGCCCCCTGGCAGGACCCGGCGCGCGGCTTGTCGAGGGGCGGCCCGCCCCGCTTCCGCCGCGCCCCTTTTGTCCGGTGTTTCCCCTTGGGCAGGCACACGCGCGCGCCCGCGCGCGGGCGTCTTCCCTGTCCCCGGCCCGGGGCCGCGAGAAAGCGGCTGGCTGGGCGCGCATGCGGAATGCGGATACACATCCCCCCACCGGCCTCAGGCGGGCGGCTGCCTCTCTCTCTCTCTCTATCGCTGAACGACGAGACGCGACAAATGAATGGGAGATGTCTGGCCACACGGGGGCGGCGGGGCGGGGCGGGCCACCTCGCGACCACGACCCAGGCGGAATGCGGCGGGCCGATGTAAACACACGCGCGCTTGTCCGTGACCTTCGCGCGTCTGCCCAGTAAACCCAAGGGGAGCGCGAGGGGGGGGGGGGGGGGGACGCGCATCCACACACACACACAGGGACAGCCCGCCCAGAGGCGGCTCAGGATTACACACACACACACAGGAGAACACACCCCGGGGCCATGCAGGCGCGGGCTGGCCGCCGGCCCATGCGCCATGGGCGTCGGGCGGCGCATAGACCGGCGGACAAGAGACAGAAGGGGGGGACAAAGAGTCCCATCCTTCTCG